TAATGGTCTGACATTATTAAGTTTCAATCAGACACGACTGGCAAAATACAACTGAATCAGCATCCCTGTTTTTCTATCCTTCAAGAGCCATGACATCATAGGCTTTATCTTTCAATCTACTTGAAGCCTTCCGTAATGAAATTTATCAAGTTAGCTGGATATTTTTTCATCCATGGTACCGGCGCCAAAAAAGTCTGTCAATCCCTGGAATAAGACCATATTAATTGGATGGCTGAAAAAATCTAATTCCAGTTGTCTGCGAGGATTTTGGAAATGAGATTATGGATTTTCAGAAAATTCCAAGAAAATTGTAACTTGTAATAAAACAAATGATCTAGCGCCAAATTTGAGATTAGCTGTTATTAGAGGTACTCCATCATATAATATTTAATTGAAATCTATGTCAAGGGCAATAACTCCAAACTGTTTGGTCAAAATCATAGCAAATTCAAGCCAGTCTTAGAGAACATCAATATATGCACATTTTTATTCAAAGTGGATGAAATTTCTGTTGTGTCAACTACAAATATTCAGCTGACTATTTACCTTTTCAAAATGAAACTTTGAATTACAGTTTGTCTGCAATTTCATATAACATTATATTTTCCTATTACCAATTGGACATCAGCTGCTTTAATCACTTTTCAGAATGAAACAATGACTTACAGTTTGTCTGCAATATCTATTGATCAATCAATTAACTTTCTTTTATGACTTTATGTAGCTATTTATTTTTCAATTACGTGGTTTTTTTTTTCCGAGTCTAGAAGCCGACAGCTTCATTGAAGAAAAACATGGCCATCTTAATTTAATCTTAGTATCATTAGATTTCAAACATGGTGGAAGAAATTCTTTATTTCATTAAGTTGAGTTGGAGGGGAAAATCTTGACAAAGATCTCGTCTCTCCCTGACAAATAAAACATTTCATAAGAAAATAATTTCTACTAAATGAGAAATGAATGGAGTTTTACATCCTACTTTTCTGCACCATGTAGGCTAATGAAGACAAGTAACACCATGCAGTGTGCAACGAGGCAAAATTCGACAGGACATCAGCATTAGGCTTATCTTGTTTGATTTCCAACTGTCGAGGGATCTTTAACATGCACAGCCTGTAGCACACGGGGCCTCGGTTTATTGTCCCATCCGAACGGCTAGATCTATTAATTGGAAGTCTCATGTCCTTGATTGTAAAGAGGTTTGCTAGATTTTTTATGTGTATCAGGGACACTGATAGCATCAATTTGTACCATTCCAATTTTCAATCAGATGTCTGTGGTTCCTGTAATTATAGAATTGTTTAAAGGGACAGTCAGCTCGAGCCATTATAAAACCAAACACCAAAACTAGTTCAAACTGCTTAATTAACAATTAGTACTCTCTGTTTTTAATTAA